CTCAAGCAATCCCTGCAGGAAAATTACCCACCTTCGCAATTACTTCCGCGCTGATTCTTCCTACAGCAACCGAAAGTAAATGTGATCGAGAGAAGTTTGGCGATGTTCTCAACCAAGCTACAGTCCGCAAAACAGCTTGCCAGTTCTAGAGATATTGACATAAAATCCCATCACCAGGCTTGAAAGGTAAAACTTACAATAACATTGTAGATATCCAGCTCTTTTTCTATGACTGGGACTAGGAACTTTTCAACATCAGCAGCAGCAAGATAGAGGAATGGATGGAACGGTAAACGACTTTCAGCCTTCAAAAAAATAAGTAGTACGGTATCGAAGTAGTTATTAGCTAACCTCAGCTGGCATAGCCATGACAAGTGTGTCGCGCTCGTACAAATTTCGTTCTTGGTTTTCCTCAGTAAATGACGAAGCAGTATTGTTAGCTGATTCAGGACGAGTTCCTTGTTCAAAGTAGCATCTACAGTATGCACCAAAGTTCTCTATCGTTGAGTCCTGAGACAAGCAGAATAGCAACTTTATGGAGCTCCTTGCAAGCTCCGCCTACTTTTCTGTCATTGACCATCTGCTTTTCGCGATTTGTATACCATACGAGCTCCGTTTTGCTGATGGGATTCTGTCGTTTTGTTTCCATGATGAAATCGAGTATCTTGAAGAATTATTTCTTTTAGAAAAATAACACTAATTTTCGTTTCATTACCTACCGAATTACATCCACTAACAAAGACAAGATTTTCATCTTCCTTTGCAACCGATGCTAAATGGTTGATAATGAAGGACAGAACCTGAAAATGACAAGCAAAACTTGGTGTGAGCAAGTACGGAAAAGTCTACCTTATAATTGTACGGGCAAACTGTGTACAGAATGTTGCGGAAAGCTTCGAATGATTTCTGTGGAGGGATCGTTATCTCGTTAACCTAAAAAATCCAAGAAATTGGCAAGAATTTGCACGAAAGCAGAAAGAGGCAGGTAAACAGCAGAAAAAACTGGACACATCCTCATAATTATCTCCAAAATGGAGGGAGTCGTCCTGCGCTGGCAACGGCACTATTTCACAAAACGAAACTTAAAGGGCAAAAACACAAGTCTGAATTTTGGTGGATATTTTACGGTAGCGCATTCTCTCAGGCTACAGTGTACGGTAGATGGGCCAAGATACCAAATATGCTTGAAACTTTGTGTAGAGGGTCTCAAGTATGATCACAATTATGACTTTGATTGCACGTTGTAAATATTTTCCTGAAAACTCGTCCCTCTGAAAACACTCTCCAACTTACAGGCAGTGTCCGGGCAAAATTTCGAACAAAGTTTTTTTT